CTGATCCCAAGAGTAAAAGCATCCCTGTTAATAGCCCAGTTACCTGGTGCTGAAGGATTGCACCAGGTAGATGCAGATCTCTTTACATCCCTACCAGCTGGCCTATGGTGAGGAACACCCTCCTGCAAGGAAGCCCTGGGAGAACAGTTGTCCAGAATGCCAAGATTTATCACTACTTTTTTTTCTCAAACTTGCTCATATTTCAGTTTCACCTAGTGAGACAGCAGAGATCTAGGTAGAGTTTTATTAAAATATCCTATGACTCAAAACTGCTCAGAATTCCCACTGCTAGGATGCTCTGCTGAGAAAAAAACCCAAACCTCAAGCCCTAAAAGCTGGGGCTGAGCAAACTGCTGGACCCGGGGGGAGGAGACATCAAGTGAGCTCTTGGCTTTAAAGCTCCCCTCCAGACAGGCAGAACTCCCACATAAAGCAACATAATCTTCATGATCACATCTCATTTACCTGCAACTGTAAGAGAGAAGCCTTCCTATGTAGGATCACCCCAGTGTGACAGCCCTAGGCCTGGGATTTACAGCAATGAAAGGTGGTTTATACCTGTATTTCAATTTAAAGAATAGCAACACATTGTGGAAATAAGTAGGATCAACCCAACCCCTGCACTTGTGCCTCAGCTGACCTTAAATGCCATGGAATTGCCTAGTCTTCTGATTCATATTCATGCATTGCCTAGAAATGTATTTACCTGCACAGTTGTCTAAAGAAAGGCAGAAACAGTTTGGAGGGCTGGGGGAGAATTGGGGCTGCCCCAGTCCTGGGGGGATGGAGCAGATGGGGAGAGCTCTTGCTGGGGGGGAACTAGATGAGGAAACCACCAAACTTAGAGGATCCAGAGAAAAGAAAGCAAGTAGAAGGTTAGGATTTGAAAAAGTGAAGTTGCTTTTGAGTTATGAGGCAAAAGCAGCTTCCCCCTCCCCCCCCCCTTTGCCTTCCTAATGTAATTTCCAAATCGAATTACAGAGTTGTTTGTTGTTTTGGTGTTGCTTTTTTATGGGGGGGGACGACACCGTTCAGTATACAAGACTCAAATTTTCTGTTATATTCCAAATTCCACCATTTGACGGCCGCCACCCAAGCCTGCTGCTAACCGGGGTACGATCCCTAGGGGAATTCCAGAACGGGAACTAGGACGGGCGAGGCTGAACAGCCGCTGCTCGACTGTCCCAGCGGTGGGAAACGCAGGTTTTTGAGCAGAACCGGCTGCCCTCGCCAGGAGAAGAGGAAAAGTGCAGCAGGTCCAACGGTTGCGTGGCCGGTGCCGGGGGCTGCGCCCGCCGTTTCTCTCCCTCTGTCCCCTCCAAACAACGATCCCGTCCCCCCGCACGGGGTGCGGGGGTTGCTCAGACCCGGGTCGGGGATGGGGAAGGGCTGGTTGGGACGCGGAGCTGCTCTGTGAGTGCCATCCAGGGGCCGGGAGCTGCAGCTCAGCTGCCGGCGAGGTTGGGGGAGGGACTCCAGAGGATTTTGGGGGTTAAAGAGTGATTTGTCTGTGCTTGTGGATGTTGGTTAAGCAGGAGGCAACCGAAGGGAGATGCCTGAAGCTTTCCAAGCCCACCCCGGAGCTCAGCCCGGCCTTGGGATGGGGATACAAGTGGGATTTGGGAGGTGAGAAGTGTCAGGAGTTGGTGAAGTGCCCGGAACCCCCGCGGCCCATCTAAAACCTTTATCTGGGTGGGTAGTTTGTGTCGTGTCCCCTCGTCCCCCGGGACCCCTGCCCTGCGGGGGGGGAGCAGCCCCAGAGACATCTCGGTCCCTGTCACCTGGGGGTCTGAGGGCAGACCCAGCCCTGCTGCTCCCCAGCACGGGGCTGCCGGGCCTTTAAAGGAGCAGCGAGGAAACACCGTTTTCCCCTCCTTGTCACAAAACTTAATGGGGAAAGAAAAACACCCTTTGTTTTTCAATTGGGAGGGTTTTGTATCCGCTGCGTGGCTGCCGCGTCCCGGGGGGGG